ATGATTTAACAGGAGGGGACAATTCATTTTTCACATAGGGCCAGGTAGGTTTGGACCGTTTTTTCCCCTTAATAAATTAAATCAGAGGCCTACCCCTTAATTTATAAATGTTGCAAAGAAGTATCTGACATAAAAAAATTTTTTTTTTTAATTCTTAAATATTACTGGTAAATGTTATGTATTTTATACGGAAATAAATAAATACCATGAAAATAATTTCCTAAAGGCAAATATTGTCCCTTTTTGGAAAGGTTAATTTAATATTACCGGCCAATGACTCAAAAGCTATAACTGATAGCACACACAATTTGAGGTATCATTCATGTCTGTAGCACAAACAGAGTTGGAGCCCCTTAAGAGACAAAGTTTAGCATTACTAAGCATTAGCAAATGTAACAGCCAACTAAAATTATGCTAAAAAGACTGTACTTTTATAGGCGGGTTGATTCAGAGAAACTAGATTGTAACAAAACTCTCCAGTATTTTGACTCCAGGAGTCAACTTGCAGCCAACTAGGGACAGGAAGCACTAAAGACTCATGGGTGATTTCCGTGCAGCTTGATAAAAGCGGCTTGCTGTCTCTTTTCTCCTGCCAAAACAAACAAGCCATTGCGAGGGGAGATATGGAGCAATTACCCAGCCTTCTCCCGTATTCTCTACACCACATTATAGCAGGTAGACCAACACTCTCAAAACCACTGTACACAATCACCACAACAGGCCTTTCGCAGACCGTTTACAGAGAGATAAATGATGCTCTCTGTGGCTAAATGAGTTATATATAATCATCTATTCATATGCCAATGAAAGACTAGAAATGTCAGAAGAAAAAAAAAAAACACTTTTCTTTCTTGTGCCAAGCTAGCATGTTCAAACGCAAAGCTGTTTTAGTAACTAGTATGTTTACTAAAAGTGGAAAAGCAAAAATTCATTGAAATACAAGAAATATTTGTAATTAAGCTCATACACAAAAAAATATTGCAATATACACATCCTTACGAATTTCTTCAATGACTGCGAAAAAGAACCTGTACATAAAAGTAATTTGCTTGTGAATCACTGGTAGCACTTATTTTTTTGCACACAGCTTATGAGAAAACTAGAAAAACATGTTTGAAATGTATTTCAAATAAGGGCTATTTTGAATTTTTTATTTATCAAAAAATCCTGAAATGAATGCATCATGCTTTCCATAAAAATAACCACATTAGCATTTATAATAATCAGAAATTAATATTTAATACTAGAAAATAAAATTGATTTCCGATTTCTGAAAGATCATGTGACACTGTAGACTGGATTAATGATGCTAAAATTTCAGCTTTGCATCACAGCAATACAATTTCATTTTAAAAATAGATAAAAGTTGTTTTAAATTGTAATAATATTTCACAATATTACTGTGAAATGCAGCCTTGGCGAGCATAAGAGTGTTATGAAATCTTACCAACCCCAAACTTTTGAAAGGTAGTGCCCTAGCTAATAGTTTTCACACACAAGAAGAAAAAAAAACACTAAAGTTACTACTCTAAAATCCAGAATATACAGTATATATAATATAATAACAATTTGGATATAGATTTATCGGCCAACATATCGGTTATCGGCTTTCAAAAATAAAGAATAATCGGTTATCGTATCGGCCAAAATTTTCATATCGGTGCATCCCTAAAATAATATTTGTATATATTACTAATAAACAGAAGTACTTTTTTTTAATGCCAGTTTTGGCTAATATATTAAGTTTTGCTCTACATTTCAACTCTTTTTGGTCAGGGTTAAACATTTAACTGGTTAATCCTTATGATTCATTGTTGGATTAAAAACACAAAGCTAATTCTAGACTAGAAAATTCAGTTTTCCTTGGAATATGAGCTAAAGCCATCCACACTTCCTCCACATCTCCTGTTTATGCAGGAACAAAGCACATATATGAAATCATAACTACCAGCCTCTAAGAGAGTCTCTGCCTAACACCGACCAGATTTGTACACAAACCATTTACCACTTCATCCTGACAGAATGTTTGCGAGAAAATACAAACATTACGATTTCCCCACATCTCTGTTTATTGTGTTTTGTGGTCAATATGAAGGCCATATGGATGAGGGAGCGTTTCTGTAACTTCATATAATCTCCATCAACAAACAGAGCTGCTTATTATCAGCTCGACTACAAGCGGCGTATTGTTTATTAACCACGGACAATCACACGACTATCAGCCAAGAACTCAAATTCAATCTCCGGATGTATCCCTGTTTCCAAACAGTCTGATCTGCAGCGATCCAGAGGTATATCAGGACATGTTTAGACACAAACTCCCGTAAATAATCCCAAACAGGACGGCTCCCACAGGACTGACCCCTGCTCCCTCATTCCGATAGGAGAATGGATGCGATCGCATTTATATTCTCCAGCTGGGCGCTGGGACGGCGAACGCACACAAAACCGTAGCATATTTTCCTCCCCATCTACCTCATTTTAATTATGATGTCTGCTGAGAAAGAGCCAAGTCAGCTTCTCCGAGTGATTTCATCGGCCTCCCATCTAATCTAATTCCGTTAATTCTCTCAATGAACTGTAACTTAAAGCCGTCGCGAATAAAAGTTCCTCACGATGACCTAATATAGGGCACGTATCAGGCCGGGTGGCTGCTGAGTAATGTTAAACTTTAATGCCGACTGGGTTTCGCTCTCTCTCTCTTTTCATACACAGCTTGAACTATTTACGACCGGCCGAAAAAACGACTCCACCCTCTCGCTTTGGCTCCCTCGAGATTCAGTGTGCATATATGGGCCGAATTGCTAGCTATGAACGAATCAAGCTGTTGTTTGAGGGGGAAAAACGTAGTAACTTCTGTGGAGAACCATCATAAACTCACCAGTGGGCATATTATTCTTTAAACATCCCCAGCTGTCGCCTGCTCCGGTCTGGATGACTGAGTCACAAGGTGGTGCTTTTATTATGGCTTTGTTGGTGGTTCGCGTACGTGTTGGAATGAAGGGGAAAGGTGCTTTTAAGTTGCAGTCTGTGCGCAAATCGCCATTCTGAGATCCAGATGAATGGCTAATTCAAGATAATATATTTGTGACCCTGGACCACAAAACCAGTCTTAATTGTCAATTACTAGTGTCGATTTATAAATCATCTGAAAGCTGAATAAATAAGCTTTCCATTGATGTATGGTTTGTTAGGGTAGGACAATATTTGGCTGAGATACAACTATTTGAAAATCTGGAATCTGAGGGTGCAAAAAATAACCAAAATATTGAGAAAATCACCTTTAAAGTTGTCCAAATGAAGTTCTTAGCAATGCATATTACTAATCAAAAATTAAGTTTTGATGTATTTACGGTAGGAAATTTACTAAATATCTTCATGGAACATGATCTTTACTTAATATCCTAATGATTTTTGGCATAAAAGAAAAATCTATCATTTTGACCCATACAATGTATTTTTGGCTATTGCTACAAATATACCCCAGCGACTTAAGCCTGGTTTTGTGCTCCAGGGTCATATTTAGGCTCACTTCAGGTTCATCTGACCCCCATCAGAAACACTGGGTTCAAAAACAGCCCCGAGGAGCGCAACAGACTGTAACAGAACGCAGGGGTCTAGAGATGAGTGTTAAAAATTTATTTTTAACTTAACACGCTGACTAAAAATCATAACGCGCATGGCGGGACACTCCAAAAAAACTGTGAGAGACGACACGGGAGTCAAAGACGTCAGTCTGAATGCGTAGGGCTGTACAAACAAACTCACTCACTCTCAGCATGCTAATTAGATCAAAACTATAAAGCAAAATACCAAATCTATTTATTAAACCCATTTCATATATTTTTGTGTGTGTGCTAGTGTGTTAAATGTTTCTTGAGCAGCAAATCATATTAGAATGATTTCTGAAGGATCATGTGACACTGAAGACTGGAGTAATGATGATGAAAATTCAGCTTTGCATCGCAGGAATAAATTGCATTACATAAACCTCCGGTTTCATAGACAAGGCTTAAGCCTAGTCCCAGACTAAAATGCATGTCTGGGCTGTTTTAACTGAAAGAAACTTGCACTGACTGATCTTAAAATATGTCAGATTCATTGTTTTGTCTGTCAATGTTTTTATCGAAGGCATATTTCTAAAAACTACTTAAATGTCCTAATTGAACTATGGCCTAATCCTGGTTTAACCTAAGCCCTGTCTGTGAAACCGGGTCAAAATATATTCAAATAGAAAATTGTTCTTTTAAATTGTAATAATATTTCACAAGATTACTGTTTTGACTGTATTGCCAATCAAGCAAAAGCAGCCTTGGCGAGCATACGAGAAAAACAAAAAAATGTACCAACCACAATCTTTTGAACAGTAATGTACACATAAAACATACACATAAAATAAATGTATTCCACCTTTCTCTAAATCGAGTTAAAAATTGTGAAAATGCTAGTCAGAAATTGTGACAAATGCCTAGTTTTTACGTCAACATTAAATCAAAATTGCCCCCATTTAGCATAATGCACTTTATTGTTCTTGTACATTATTTTTTAACTACAACAACAACAAAAGTTTGCCTTTGTAATCATTAAAAAGCAAAAGAAAACTTTTTAGCTGATGTCGCCTGTTCCTCTTACTTGTTCAACCATCAATCATAGAAATCACAAATCAATCAATTCTCTATGGATGAAAGCAAGTCTCAAGTTCTCACTGAATATCCTTTTTCACTCTGAAATACGTCACACTACAGAAGTAACACTGTAGCACACGCTGTTGACTTTGACCTGACGAAGTACAGAATCAAAGATGGATTGGAAGAAAGTGATAACGGATTAGTCCATCAATGCACTTCAACTATTACCAAACTCACTTATCCACATCTTCTACATAATGTATCTACATCTTCTACATATCACTCCCCAATCAAGCAATGTCAAGAAGAAACCAAAAACCCAATATCTTTGTAACAGTCAGCGGTGGAAGACACAGAATGGTTAGTTCTTACCTTCTTGAGGTGGCCACTGCGAGTCCCCACGAATACCACCGAATGACCTCCGTAAGTGTACGCGGCCACGGACGCCATACCGTCAGTGCGGTCGTCAAACAGGGGAGTGCCCTCAATGACCCTCAGTCCTCCGAGAGGCTGGTTCAGAACCAGACCACAGAAATCATCGCCAATCTGCTTGGGCTACGGGACGAAACGAGAAACAATGCAGCGTAATTAGTTCATATTCATCAGATTGTTTTTGTTCATGTTTTAGGCCTGACGTAAGTCTTGTGTAAAAACAGGTCCGAAAGGCTACGTTGAAAATGGGATTAAAATAAAATAAAAATAAATAAATAATAAGTAATTCAACTAATACATACTTTTTTTAAATTGAATGATAAATTGAAATGAATACAATACATAATATTTCAGATTCATTAAAAAAAACTATATCATGATCAGTGTTGGGGAAAGTTACTTTTAAAAGTAATGCATTACAATATTGCATTACGCCCTAAAAAAGTAACTAATTACGTTACTTAGTTACTTTTTATGGAATGTAATGCGTTACATTACTTTTTGCGTAACTTTCGCGTTACTTTTTAAATATGAGCAAGGCTCTATTTATAGCAAATGTAAAAGCCCTTTCACACCAAAAAGTGTACTGAATAAACCTCAGGCTGAAGGAAAATTAAATTCACGTCAGTACAGTAGAATGCAGGAGAAGAATCACTCTTCAGCAATAAAAAAAAAACAATGAAGCACAATTGTTAGTTTATCTAAATGTAATTGTTTAAATTAATATAATTGATACTTTTGACTCATCCCTTTTCTTAAATATGGTTTAATGGCTGAAATGTGAAGTTTATCATTTTATAAAACGATTTGTTTTTGTGAAAACCTGTATCTGAACTGTAAATCATGATTTTTACAGTCATTTTACAGTTTAGTATGTTCCGTATCAGTTACAAAATATTATTACTTGCCTATAAGGCCCTTAATGGGTTAGCTCCTGCGTACCTAACTAGTCTTCTACCACGCTACAATCCATCACGCTCCCTAAGGTCGCAAAATTCTGGACTTTTGGTAGTACCTAGGATATCAAAGTCCACTAAAGGAGGTAGAGCTTTTTCGCATTTGGCTCCCAAACTCTGGAATAGCCTTCCTGATACCGTTCGGGGTTCAGACACACTCTCTCTGTTTAAATCTAGATTAAAGACACATCTCTTTGGCCAAGCATTCAAATAATGCATCTCATAATCTTTTACTGCAGTCATAATCTTTTACTGCAGTTATATCTAATCAAATGCACATTATTATTCGTTAGTTTGGGTTAAACAAATCATTTTTGCTTGGTTGGAACAGCAGCTACGCTAATTATGTTTGTATTTGTTTCTCTGTCTTTTGCCACGGGATTAACATCCCGTGGTAACTAGGATTTACACAAGCTTCAGTCTGGATCCAGAACACCTGAGAAGAGATGATGCAACCCCTCAGAGGACCTCAGATGATGCCAACCCTGAAACAACATACAGAACTACCACCTTTTGCTATAAGTTTGATTGCATCATATAATAATTGCTGTTAATATTATTCATCGTCTGTTTTATTACGTCTTATATTGATTTTTCTGTACTGCTGGTTCGTCTGGTCAGAGGAGAACTGGCCCCCCGACTGAGCCTGGTTTCTCCCAAGGTTTTTTCTCCATTCTGTCACCGATGGAGTTTTGGTTCCTTGCCGCTGTCGCCTCTGGCTTGCTTAGTTGGGGACACTTCATTTCCAGCGATATCGTTGACATGATTGCAAAGATATTATTTAAACTGAACTGAGCTGGATGTTGACATCACTGAATTCAATGATGAACTGTCTTTAACTGAAAAATGAGTGTTTACTATTGTCATTTTGCATTATTGACACTATTTTCCTAATTAATGCTGTTCAGTTGCTTTGTCACAATCTGTATTGTTAAAAGCGCTATATAAATAAAGGTGACTTGACTTGACTTGACTTGAATCTGTTGCAGTGATTTAAAACAAAAAATTAAAATTAAAAAAATAAAAACAAAACAAAACAAATAATTACTTTAAAAAAAAACTTAAAGGCATATAATTAATACAAAATACATAGGCCTACAACATATTAAAGATTCAGTTAAAACAACTAAAAATGTGTTAGAATAATTTAAAAAAAATAATAAATAAAAGTCAAAACAAAACCATTTTTTAATTAATTGCAAAAAAATGAATACAAAATATTTAAAATTCAGTAAAAACGACTACATGATGGGGTTAGCAAATAAAGTTAGTGAATGAAATGAAATAAAACAAAAAGTCCGCCTGTCTCGTTAATATAAAATAATTTCTCATTGGCGGTTTAAGGACCCTTAACAACAAATGCTGAGTAATTTGTGTTATGCCATTGTTTAGTCACCTTTAGTAGATCTTTGGGACATTAAATCAGAATGCAGAAAGTAAAAATTAATTTGTGGGCCAGATTTCAGGTTAAACACTTAAATGCATTTGCATATCACAAAAATAAAAATACATCCACACAAGCAAACAAATAGCCTGAAGACCCAACCACAGCTTTCTCCAGCTGTTGTCAAATCACAGTATCTCAGACAGGAAATGCCAGCTAATAGATCAGACAGAGAAGAGCCACCCAAACAGAGACTGCGAAAGTGAGCCCATGGGGATCAGACCGGGGGCCGGCGCGCACCGACCGGTGAGACATGACATCATCCTGCAATCTACCTCACTGTCAGTGCTTTATCACTTCAGATGTGCTCTCTCCCGAAAGAGGCACCCTTTACCCTCCGAGCGTCTCTGAAAAGCATTATTTCAGCCGGTTTTAATGGCTGTCCACTGACACAAAGGAGGAAAAACTACAAGAAAATCGCTGTATGTCATTTCTCCTCAAGGAAATCAGAGTCAGAAGAGTTATTCAAAAATCAATTGCATTAACTAACATCTGCAACACATCGATCGGCCAAGTGATGATGTCATCGAGCACCAAACCTAGTCCCCCGGTTCACCCCCGAGGTGAACTATTGACTCATTACCAGGTTCTCGGAGCTCGATGGAAAACACTCTGGACCTCGGCATCCAACGCCACACAAAAAAAACCTCAGTAAAGTGCAACGAGAGGTCAGCTTAGCCTGCGGATGAATGACATCAGCTCCAACAGCAAGACGTTTAACGGTGGTAATGACGAACATGAAGGTGCAACAGCAACAGCTGAATTTTTGGGCACTTTCTGCCCAAATTCTTCGAGGCGATGGGCGTCTTGAGAGCGTGCTGTTGAATGATGATTGAGAGCGTGATGTTGGCCGGTGGAACGGCTTGTTTTTGTGCATGCATATGAAGGGTAAATGTATTAAACGAAGCATGAGCTTGCGGCAGACACGCACGCTCTCATTAGAAGGCGGAGGGCCGTTGCCGCGCATGAGAAAGAGCTAATAATACCCCGGCAGCCACGGCACTGGAATCAGGAGCAGATTTGCATCAGTCATGGGGAACCCTGTTGTTGCTCATAAAAACAACCACAGCCCCCCCCCCCAAAGGAACGAGGTCATCGGCACTCGCCATCTTCGCCCCATCTGCTCTAGCCGGGCCGCGAGATGTTGTGCTATTGTTCCCGGCTCAATTACAGCCGCGGACGCAAATTGTCCTCTCGTCTGGTTGTCCTCCAGGCAAGTAAGAAGGAAAAACAAACTCAGCCGATTTGCTAATGCTTTCTGTTATTTTTTCGAGGGGGAAAACATTGCTACTGTAGCGCGAGGAGAGTTTAAGTTTACAAGCACAGTCACTAAATAACTACCAGACAACTAACATGGCAAACGACATGCAGCAAAATGATTCAATATGTACACTAGGGTTGGTTCAAAACCAAAATTTTGGCTTCAGTACCTAAAAATAGAAACTGTTGCTGAATATGCATGATACAACTGCATACTATAAACAATTACTAAACTAATACACATTAAATCGGTCACGTTTATGCAGAAAACAAACATCTTAACAACTACTTATAAATGGCTTATGAATTAAGTGCAAGTCTTTTCCAGTTGATTTGAAATCATTTCTTTGAATATTCCAGTGCATAAGAATTACATATCATAATTTAGCAGGAAAATATCAACCATTAACTTGCTTTGCTGAAATAAGCACACATGAACATGAATAATGGCACAAAACCCCAAATTTGACAGTATAAACTTTATTAAATGCCCTTTTTTCCTCGGTCATGCATGCTCAGCATTTCTTGTAAGAATGTGCATGGAATCTGCGTTGACCTTTGTAATACACTGAATATTAATAATTGTCTATAAATTCCATAATCAATCAAAATTGCATGTCTTGATGCATCCCCAATTGGCGATTTTGCTTGCATGCAAGAATACTGGATTTGTACCATGTTACTTTATGGCGCCATCTCTACTGTTTGCTAATTAGCTTCAAAATTACAGGATGTTGGGGTTAACAGAGAAATTAATAATACCTAACCTTTGGACAGAGTTGATTTGTGAATTGCAGAACAAGCCTACGACTAGCTTCGAAGCAGATAAATAACATCAAATCATAAGTGTGATTTGTCACTGAATTACAGGAGGAGACAAATATTAAAGATTCATAAATAAAGCTTCAAGGGTTTCCAGAGGCAGACCACGCGTGGTACACTTGACTGGTTTAAAATGTCAGAGGCGTATTGATTTTGATGTCTAGCCATCACCTTCTTCATCTCTCACATAATAAGCTATTGCTTCCCACCCTGTCTGGTTTGAATAGATTTTTCATCAAAGATACATTACATCAGATTAAGATGTGTAATCATGTTAGACAGTTTCCCCTACACAGGCATTCCTGAAAAGTCTGCAACATGTCACAATTAGGTCAATGGGAATCATGTATAGCATCCACAAATTAGTTTTTCAGGCGCAACAATGAAAAAAAAAAAAAAAAGATAACAGACCAAAGGTCTATTATTATGTGAGCACAGAAACCCTGGGGTACCTTGCTGTGACACGAATACATGCTTTAACAACATGATTTAAACAAGGAGGACATGTTCCTGGATCAACATTGGAATAACATTGCAATCAGTCAATAAAATAAGGTTAGGACTTATTTTAAGGTCAAGTTCTCACTATTAACTATTAACTACAACATTTGCCTTGGTAAATTTCTAATTACTGCTTATTAGTAGTTAATAAGGTAGGTGTAGAATTAGGGACGTAGAATGTGGTCATACAGAATATGTGCTTTATAAGTACTAATAAACAGCCAATATGCTAGTAATATGCATGCTAATAAGCAAACAGTTAATAGTGAGAATTGGTCCCTATACTAAAGTGTTACCAAAAATATTATTTCCCTCTTATTTTAGGACTTGGATGCATTTAAGCTCATAGTTAGGGTGTAGAGATGCACCAATGTTACAATTCTGGCAATATCAATAAGCCAAATATTATTTTAACATGGCTGATATATGGCCACTACTGTGAATCTATACTATGTGGGGGGACTATAAAAAAAGCATGCTGTTTAACACTGACACTGACACACATTCTTAAAAGGGAAGTGCATGTCAAGAAATGATGCATTCAAATGATTAAATATTTGTCATAATCTATTGCTATTTCTTTAAATTAGTGCTAGATATAAGGCAGGGTTGCCCATACTGGGTCCTGGAGGGCCACTGTCCTGTAGAGTTTAGCTCCAACCCCAATTAAACACACCTGAAGCAGCTAATCAAGCTCTTACTAGGCATACTAGAATCTTCGAGGCAGGTGTGTTGATTCAAGCTGGAGCTAAACACAAGCTGGAGCTAAAACCAGTTTGGACACCCCTGATATAATATAGGCTGAAACCAATTAATATCCAATATAAGTAGACAAATAAATTAATTAAAAACATACATACAGCAGGTAGGGATATGCCGGTATCAAATTTTCATGTTGCGATTAATTGCTAATGCTTTTATCACGGTATACGGTATTATCACAATATTGAAATTTAGTTTTAAAAAGTGCTGTCATAATACAGTACAACAGGTTTAATAACTTTTTTCTTATAACAAAAATAACTGAACATTTAAATGCAATAAAGCAATACAGAAAAATGTACAAAGTTACAAGTTTTACACAGATTAAAGTGCAAAAGAACTATAAAGACCAATAGGTATCACTTTACAATAAGACCTCATTAGTTAACCTTAGTTAATTTCCTACAGAAGTTATTAATCTTTGTTTAGAAAATACAAAATAAAGCAATACAGAAAAATGTACAAAGTTACAAGTTTTACACAGATTAAAGTGCAAAAGAACTATAAAGACCAATAGGTATCACTTTACAATAAGACCTCATTAGTTAACCTTAGTTAATTTCCTACAGAAGTTATTAATCTTTGTTTAGAAAATACAAGTCTTAGCTCATGTTAGCTCATTAAATAACACAGTTGCAACTTTTGATTAATAAATAAATATTTGTTGCAGTCCAGATTAAAATGTAAAAAAAGTTAGAAAATAAATAGCCTATTAAGTCTAAATATTTAAGTATTTGGCGCTGTGATGAACATCATAGCAAACACACAAATCTGAATGGCTGTTTAAATCATTTAAACACGATTCAGAAACAGAAAGTAGTGCAGCTGCTTTGTTTACAGGGTTTCCGGGGTAACGGCTGCATTTAAATGAATTATTATTATTATTATTATTATTTCTGCAGTTTAGCGCCATCTGCTATCAGAGAGTGAAAGTGCGCTTTCTTCCAGAGCGTCTCTCAAATGCTCCGCCATGTGCTTGTCGTCCGCGCTTGTTTACGTCAGAGTGCGCACGCATCTTTCACGCAGCATACAGCGGTGTTGTGCATTTTGACCAGTTGATGGGAAAAGTATTCTTAAAATGCATTCAAAATTCTGAATAATTTGTAATATATAATTATTCACGGTATTTAGAAGTGCCCACGATAACAATATCGTGCATATTCATTACCGTGATATATCGCATTACCGAATACCGGCACAAGTCTAACAGCGGGTAAAATAAGTAGGCCTATTGAACACGTCACCATTTTTCTCAGTAAATATATTTCTAAAGGCAGGGCCGTCCTTAGGGGGGTGCAACGTGGCGAATGGACCGAGGATCCGCTCACCCCACCCCGGAACGTGATAGCGAACATTGAACTCGGATCTTTGCTTCTAATTTTCTATTGGACTCATGTCAGGTGATTGGCTGGGCCATTCTAGCAGCTTTATATTCTTTTTCTGAAACCAATAGAGTTTCCTTGGCTGTGTTTGGGATCATTGTCTTGCTGAAATGTCCACCCTTGTTTCATCTTCATCATCCTGGTACTGTAGGTGTTGGGACTGAACCAGCTAATATTCATTTTCACTGACTTTCTAATTACTGATAGACTTCAGCTGGTGTCTTGGCTTTCCATGCCTTTTTGCACCTCCCTTTCTTATGTGTTCAATACTTTTTCCCTGTGTCACTACATTTTATTACACAACTTAATTTCTGAAATTATTTGTTTTGTTCTATTTGTATGTATGGATTACTTGGGTTGTTACCGACATCTGGTGAAAATTTCAAGTAAATAGCACCTTTAGAAATATATTTACTGAGAAAAATGCTGATGTGTTCAATACTTATTTTACCCACTGAGCATTGAGCATTGGTGGCGCTGATGAATTGTGCATTGGGTCTTGCCCAATGACTGAAAAGATTGTGAGTGTTCCATAAGAAGGTTGTTAAAACAATGTTGATCCAAGAACCTGGAATCCAGGAATTTTTTGATGATTGAAACAACATTCCTGTAAGGCAAACAAAATCCTACATACCCCTAAACTTAATCCCAAAAACCAAAAGTAATCATAAGTTGGTAAGAATAAGAACGTTGCTGTTGTTAACACCAACCCCAAGCGTAACCCTGAACCTACCCCTAAAATTTGATTAGATTAACGAAAGCACCCTACTTGGCAAAACTGTGATCACAAATACTTGAAATAAAACAGATATAGAGCGAAAATTAATTCAAAGACTCACCGTATTAATACAAGGCAGTTCCTTGTTGAGCAACCATGGCAGAGACAGCTTTCCTTCCCCGCGGTAACACGACTTGATCCTCTCTCTCATGGCCAGGTTGATCTGGTGCAGCGTGAAGAAGCACAGCACTGTTTCTCTCGGTGGGTTAGCCCTGTTCTTCTGACCCTGGGAGAAGATCACAAACAAGACATCTTCGTCCTCAGAAAGGCCGAGAGCCTGGGCCAGAATCTTCCCAGGACGGTGCTTGTAGGCGGCTTGGACAAGTCGGTATTCCACGCCATCCTTGGTGCACCCAAGTGGGAACTCGACGTAGGAGTAGAACTCAGTGTCATTGGAGCACATCCGGACGATTTTTGAGGTAAAGAACTTCTCGCCCGTCGCATCAACCTGGGTGAGCTGGGTATCCAGTTGCAAAGTGAGGAAATAGATGTAAGTGCGGCTGGAGAACCCGTAAACGTAGTAGATGTCGAATGCGGGATATTGAGACAGGGTGTCTGAAGGTATCTTGATTTGAGAGGACACAAACTCATCTTGGTAAACCAAGCTGAACATTTCCATTTTCTCCTCATCTGCCACCAGTTTACGGCTGGATAGGGTTGGGAAATACTCAGATTTGCCATCGATGGCGGAGCCGATGAAGAGGCGGCTGTCACCTTTCTTTTTCTTCTTCAAGTCTCCGTCGTCATCGCCCACCACAACTCCAGCCATCCCATCTGGCTCTTTGGCTCCTGAGAGGTAGTGTTCTTTACGGTGATGTGGTTCACCAAGCTTGAAGAGATCTTCCAGCCGCAGGAACTGGCACACGCCCTGCCAGATGCTTCCACAAGCCACCAGACGGTTGCCAGCATAATCAACAAGCAGCAATTTGTTGACGTTGTCAGTGGATTCCAGTTTCTGCGTGCATGGTCGTACGCTGGGGGGCGGGTAGCACTTGGCGTTGTCCTCCACGGGACCCGTCTGGTGCGAGCGCATTTCGGTCAGATTGGCGGAGAGCCTGTAGACTCGGTTTATCGCGCCGATGAACACCTCGCCAGTCTTGTGGTGCACGGTGAGGTGCGTGAGGCTCGTGTCTTTAACCCTGAAGCTCCCGGAGACTTCAGGGGGTTCAGTAGGAGTCATGGGAAACGCCATGTTGGTCCCGGTCAAAATAGAGACGGAAAATACCAGCAGCCACAAGGACCTCATGATTCCAAACCTTCTAATGTGGAGGGGGGAATGAGACAAAGCTCTTCCCTCAAGCGTATTCCAGGCTTTTTCTTCTTTTGCTGTCTCAGTGGTTCATGTCTACAATGAAAAAGAGAGAAACAAGAAAAAAAATTAGTTCGTTTGAAAATGGATTATGCAGGCAAAGCAATGTCTTATCTTTAAAAGTTTAATTGCATTAAAGGGGTCATCATACTTTACAGTTTCATTTTCTCCCCCAAGGCAATACTTTTTGCACAGAAAAACAGTCATAATTTAGTTTTTTGACCCACAATTTGACCCTTATATTTAAACAGCCTGTTTCTTGCCAGTTTGTAATATAGTACAATATAGTTTGCACTACTCCTCATCCTTCAATAACAACCTCTTTCTAAAGCTGCAATACCTATAAGCATCACAAATTCTGATCATGCAATGATGATAATGCATTTAGTAGCAAAACTACGTGTTTGTATCATTGAAATTCTTTGGAAGGATATGCAACACGGCTAGAGCCATATAAAGCCACGAACACGTCTGGCAGATTTTCCCACATTTTACTGAGAATCTCCGAAGCTCAAACAATTGGCGTCATTAGCGCCAAGATCTTGTATTCAATTCCCTGGGAATGCATCAACTTGATAAACTTGATAAAATGTATACCTTGTCTGCCATAAAACGCATCCAAGTTCCTTTGTACTACCTCACCGTGATTAGGGAGGCCAAGTTTCTGAACATCAAATCAGCACTGTTGGTGCGTAAATGTCAATAGCTAAGTGTTGCACGTATTTATCTGTCTTGTACACATGCACAAGAGGCGCTCTTGCAGACTCTTACCGGAAATTAAGCTTTGAGTTCTAGTAGAATGAACTTTGACAATAACCGATTTTAAAACCCAACAATCAGGATTTCAGCACTTCTGCCTGAGACACAATCCATCCCTGCGTGCTCTCCATTTGGAGGCATTAGTGACTCAGAGTGGACTGTGAGCCAGTGCGTGACAGCTGGGTGAGGGGATTTTGGGGGTATGTATTGATCGAGTGGCTTCTGTTGGTGCCAAGCCTTGTCACTCCCACTCCTTTCACTCATTGGATTGCTAATAAACCTTTATGGTCATTGCAAGCACTAATCCCAAGCACATTTGTTAATTAGGAAGAAGCCCTTAACCAGACAGCAAGAATAGGGATGGGAATCGTAAGGAATTTAACGATTCCGATTCAAGTGATTCTGTATTTTTAACAATTCTTTGCGATTTGGCGAAAAAAAGGATGGTCAATAGAAACAAATGTTGTCAAATGACGATTATTTTACATTTCAAAACAATAATGCAGGGTTCCCACACTTTGTGACAAATACATTTCCATGACCTTTCCAAATAATTCTGATTGCTAAATAAGAATATATAAAATTGATTCAAAGTGAGATCAATTCAATCACTAAAGTATCATTCCGGGAACATGTTTAACCCATGAATTGAACAAACAAATTTTGTGGTTACAATCAGACTGGCTTGAAAATCTATTTTCTGCAAAATAACATAACTACATATAACTTATACTATTCATTTTAGAAACTCTATGGCTTTTCTAGGCCTGGAAAATGGAATTAAAAAAATGTCCTGATATAACCAGATGTTCCTTGACTATGGAAACCCAAAATAATGGTAAAGAAGAAATAAATTGTATACAATTACTTAATAAATGCATTAAATTAAATGTTTAATATTAAAAAAAAAATTCTAAATATATAAATACACAACATGAAATGGTGCACTTTTACAGAAATTATGAATCTCACACATACCATCCAGAGCTGTTAACCAAATGCCATGAAAATCATTTGCTTTTATTTAAAATAAAAAAGGTATTGAATAAGAACCTTTTTAAATTTTTAAACCTGAGCAAGACGCAAGATCACAGAGAGAAGACAGAAAGAACACAAAAAACGCAGCGAGTGGTTATAGCACCATTTCATTCGCTCTTGGAAAATTTAACACAAGTGGTTTGCAGATCAAACACATCGGTCGTTTGTTCAATCACTGCCTCCCCCCACTGGGCAGAACAGCAGGAACGAAAGAGGTCTGCATGGCTCCTGTTGTCTGTCTCCCTTTCTTTCTGTCTTTCTCCCTTTCCAACGAGAAGGGAACGGAAGGGTCGGGAAGCGCCACATTAAGCACACACAGGCGGAATAAGGCTTCACTTCAACCACAAACTAAGCACTACAGTTTTTCTGCATATGGTAGGACTATGAAGCCTTGCTTCAATTTGTCTCTGGAAAGCATGTGCTCAAGCTACTGCCACAACATTTTTATTCAATAACACATCACAATATTCAATTCTCACTATACTGTAAAGCTACTTTAGATATTTGTATCAATACTTTGACATGTTCAGTTCATGAAAAAGCAGGTATTAAATCACATTCACCACAAATTTAAATCGCAAATTGCAAATGCAAACAATGTATCGGCAGGCTCGAAACCTAAAAACAAATTGCAAAAAGTAAAAAGTGCATACAAATCACATTTTCAGGACCTATTTAAATAAATAGTGCACATGAAAACAATGTATTTACAACAATTCAACTGAAACCTGCATGGTTTATATAAGAAAATAAAAAAAAGCGCACCTCTGACAGATTCCTGTAATTTAACGTTGCGAACAATGCTGGAAAAATCACTGCAGACTTCAGGTTCCTAAAATCCGAAATCCTTGCTCATTGTATTATAATGACGTATTGTAATACATTCCCTGATTTGCAGGAGAAGCTATTGAACGGCAATCACAGTAATTCCATTAGCACAGTAGAAGCCGGCTGGTCCCAGTGAAAAAGCTGAATGCCTAAGCAGAACGTTTTAACCCAGAAAAGACAGACAGAGAGAGATAGTCACATAAGCGTCAGGGGGTATCTGCTCAGATCTAAGCCTTACTGTACTTGTTAATAGCAAATTAGGCTGATTTGACAGTCTTTACAGTGTTTCTGGCTGTTTTCATAATGGTAAACACACGGCGGGTGGCCAAACGCTAAATAAAATCGAAATTAAATCATTCACACTAAATTTCCCATCAAAACAGAGCAGAGATAAAACAAACACATGAAAGTTGAGGAAAGCATTAGCGTCCATCAGCACTCTAAAGTGTCTAAGCGCTGGCGGAGTTGGCAAATCTGCACCGACCCAAAACAAATATTTATTCAAGAACGTGACAGACGGTTTGGGCATTCTGCAATTTTTCAAGCGCGTCAATATTTCTGACAAACGCCCCCCTGTGACCTTTCTGCCCGTCCTCAACTGTAAACAAGAAGCCGGATGGAAACCCCATGAGACGAGCAGCGCTGAGCCCATAAAACCACCAGCTTCACATGCCAGCGCGTTGTTGTTTTTTTAAAGCACTCAGGTGAAACGGACTCATCTATTAGCCTTGTTTTCAACACTAATTTTAGCTCACTGCTGCCCCTCTTCATCACTGGTGAATTAACACATCAATCAGTTTGGTCACTTGCTGGAAAAATAATGGACGGTTTCAGATTGAGCCCTCGAGTCCAACGGCACGGTTCAAACTCAGGCAGAGAGGAACACAATATGATACGATATGAGAGCTCGTGGTTAGTGGTTCAGGAAAGAGAGAGAATCACACGATCACCTGACACGCTACAGTCGGGGTGAAGCAAGTGTCGTGAAATATCAATAACACAGAAATTATTCATTATTTTCCTTCACATGGAAAAAACGAAACAAAACAAGTTCTGAAGCCTGTCTGCTGCGCTTTGACACATCGGCTAAATGATTTTAAATGACACAGGCAGGTAATAACCCATACGCATATTTACCATGGAAATCACAGTCTGTCAAAACAACTTAAAAAAATTACCAATGGATAGAAAATATAGTGATACAAGGATCTAAAGCCTTTTTTAAACAAAAAAAAAGCTAACCAAAAAATAAATAAATAAAAATAGGTAAAAAATAAAAATTATTAACATTTTTCATTTAACATTTGATCCTTCAGAAATCGTTCTAATATTCTGATTTGCTGCTCAAAAAACATTTATTATTATTATTATTATAATTATGTTGAAAACAGCGGAGTCAAATTTTTTCCGAATAGAAAGTTCAGAAGAACAGCATTAATCTGAAATAGAAATCTTTGTAACATTATAAATGTCTTTATCGTCACTTTTGACCCATTTAAAGCATCCTTGCTAAATAAGAGTATTCATTTCTATAATTTCGTTCCCAAAGAAAACATACTGACTCCAAGCATTTGAATGGTATAGTGAATAATGTTACAAAAAGCTTTTTATTTAGCTCAAAAAACATTTATTATTATTATTATTATAATTATGTTGAAAACAGCGGAGTCGAATTTTTTCAGAATAGAAAGTTCAGAAGAACAGCATTAATCTGAAATAGAAATCTTTGTAACATTATAAATGTCTTTATCGTCACTTTTGACCCATTTAAAGCATCCTTGCTAAATAAAAGTATTAATTTCTATAATTTCATTCCCAAAGAAAACATACTGACTCCAAGCATTTGAATGGTATAGTGAATAATGTTACAAAAGCTTTTTATTTCAGATAAATGCTGATCTTTAGATGTTTCTATTCATCAAAGAATCCTGAAAAAATTTACTGTTTTAAATATTGATAATGATAATAATAATAAATGTTCCTGGAACAGCAAATCAGCATTTCTGAAAGATCATATAACACTGAAGAAGACTTAAGTAATGATGCTGAAAATTTTGCTTTGATCACAGGAATAAACTACATTTTAAAATATATTCAAAAAGAAAGCGGTTATTTTAAATAATAAAAATACTTCACAATAGTATTGCTTTGCCTGTATTTTGGATTAAATAAATGCAGGCTTGGTGAGCGGAAGAGACTTCTTAAAAATTAAAAAAAAACATTAAAAAAGAAAGTTCAGAAGAACAGCATTAATCTGAAATAGAAATCTTTGTAACATTATAAATGTCTTTATCGTCACTTTTGACCCATTTAAAGCATCCTTGCTAAATAAGAGTATTCATTTCTATAATTTCGTTCCCAAAGAAAACATACTGACTCCAAGCATTTGAATGGTATAGTGAATAATGTTA